CCGCTCTTTTAATATGACAATAATGTTTATCTGCCAGAGGTTGCTTCTGAAGACCTTACTGATTCCATGTAGTAAAAAGGATTCCAGGTTCCACACTAAGAGCAATTGAGATTACTTCTTCCTGTAATTTTTAAGCCATGAAGACAACTTCTTTAACACTTCTGTGCTGAGCTGTTGTCTTCTTTATAGCAATGTCTGAAGAAAAGGTCTTTCATTCAACTTGAAGAAAGTAAAACATTCTTCCCCAAAGTAGGAAGATAAGACACAATGTACGTGCACAGAAGATTTTATCCTGTGAATGTTGATTGAATGATAAGAACCAATTTCTCAGGATCCTTACAAAATATAAAAATCATATTCTGTTTTGCACTTCCATGACTTCCCCCTTTTCTTCCAAAATTTGACTGAGTTGTGGAGGGTCATCGCCAAAATTCCAGCACAAAAGAAGGCTGTGGACTGGGTGCTTCTTTTGCAACTATTACTATTCACAGCAAGCGTTCCTTGTTGTAGTCCTGTAAATTCCTATGGAAGTGAGCACAGAATGTCTTGTGACTTGGAAAGAAAAGAGTTGGGAGAGAAGCTTTGACTGCAAATATTTAGCATTTCTGGAGATCCCTATAATTCCACCAAAACTGGCTCTTCTATGACAGTTTAAAACTCAGAATGTGGTTTTACTTTGAAAAGTAATAAAATGCTTCCTTCCTTAAAAATTCTCATGCCAATGTGCATTTGCACTCATATCTATCAGCACTGGTCACTGAAATGTTTTCCTTGTTTCCTGTTCCAAACTGAGCCTTGTTATCAGTGCTGTGTAAGTTGATAGCGACTGGAAGAAAACAGTCATTTCTTAGCCAGTGAATGAACGGCTAGGAAAGAAGAATCTCACACATCAATGAGAAAAGCGTTTAATTAAATTTAGATCAAAGATTGGTTTCTTCTCTCTGTTCCACATGTGCAAGTTACAAGATTTGCAACAAAGTGACTTTTTTGATGGCTTCCTATACCTGAGTGAGGAGGAACCTAGCACAGCTTTCAGATCCAAAGGTTTGAAAGCTGACAAGTTAAAAAAACTCTAGTCGAGGAAGTCCTAAGTTTTACTTTCATAATAGTTTTTCAGAATGTTTAATGAGTCCCTGAACTGGAGTCTACATTAGCTTGTAGTAAGTAATATTGCATTAGGCTCTCACGTTCATTTTGTGTGTTTGCATGAGTATCAGTGAAGTTTTAGAGAATGCAAACAAAGGCAGAAATTGCCTGAACTGAGCAATGTACCAATCATTAAGAACTTATTCTTGCCCCTTATGTGACAAGGACACTGAAAGAAGACTTCTGCTTCATCTCTTGTAGCTCAGGTAAAACCAGAAATAGCAGCAGTCCCTGTACATAGGACAAACTTAAAGACAGCTCTTTATCACTCCCCAGTACGTGTCTAAAACTATTTCATGAAAAACACAGGAGGAGAGGAGGAGACAGATTCACAGCTTTGCTCCCCTCATGTTCAAGAGGGTAGAGCAGGTATGGTGTGCAGGATGTTGTATGGCGTATGCTGAGCTGTTTGACAGACCCTGCTGCCCTTCAAGTCCCACGGTTGGTTTGTGTTCCCAAAGTGAAGCTGCTGCCTTATGACACCTATGAACACTTAATGGAAAATGCTCTGCCTTTTCTTTTTCTTTATTAAGTCCCTTTCCAGAGCAGAATGGTACTTTTCAGCAGGTTGAACTGATAAACAGATCTTCAGCATTTTTTTCATAACTTCACGTCTCTGAGCTTTCCCAGAGCTCTCAGTCTTTTGAAAGGTCTGAAAGGTTTTCATGTTCTTTGCGATGTTCCTTTGAAGGTTATTTTGTATCTCAGAGTTCAGAACTAGAGAGTTAAGTCATGCGGTTTTGAACATCACCAGTCAAAACCTTGTCAGCTGAAAACCATTTATATTAGTCAATATGATGCACACCCATATTCTAGTTGCCCAAGTCTTGTTAACTTTTTAAAAAATTGAAAATGCTTGTTGTTTCATATTGTATATTTTTTCCAATTAAAGAATAAGAACTACCACTGCAAATAAATATGTCTTGCATGGAGTTAGGTATTATAAAGATGTTTTTTTTTATTGAGTCTATTGTGACCATAGTACAAATTTTTGCAGTTTCTAACAATCATTAGTCTTTTTGAAATCTCTTTGGGGATAGGGGCTATTGTACAATACTGATACTAAAAGTCAAATAAATGGATGGATGTATAAAATATTAAATGATTACCTAATTTATAACACTTTTTGTATTTTAAGGCAACAGAAGAGGTCTGCAGGAACAATGGCTTAAACTAGGGATCTGCTATCTGGCTTTCCATATAGCCTGGAGTTAATATTTGTTTCCTGCACTTCCACAAAAGAAGTTGTGGATCAGGATAGTTGTGCCACTACTCATGCATCTGTCTAGCTTTTCTGCTTTAGACAAGTTACATAGCTTTCTCCGAGTCCACCGTAGGCAATTTAAAGTGTCAGAAAAGTCTGATTTCATGCAAAGGCTACTGAGTAGAATCCTTTTATCTTATGCCACTGCTTATACAATAATTAAATATACTTTTATGAATAGTCTGAATTACTGGAAAACAGCAGCTATTTGATTAGTTTGTGGAATAAAGGCTCCACATTCTAAAGAGAGAGGAAAATGCTACTTACTGGAACAAGGTGTTTTATCCCGATGGAGCATTTCATCATTAGTTATTGCTTTTCCATAACTTGCTCTTGCCAATTGTAAATTGAGGAAGATAGTGGGAGAGCAACAGGTGAATATATAAATGTTTAGACATCAACAACAGGGGTTTTTTGTTTGTTTGTTTGTTTGTTTTACAGAAGTACTGTATACTGAAAAATACTCTTTTTTATTATTATTATTTTTTTAAATCTTTCTGTCTTATACAAATGTATGAAAGCAGAGGAGCAGATTTCTGGTTCTTCTTGACAGACCAAGTGATCGGATACAAAATGATCAGATACTGAGAGGGACTCTCCCCCTGATGAACAGCCAGACAGAAGTGTCAACGTGACAGTTCTAAAATTGCCTTTCTTTAATCACTCTCTGTCAGATACTTGATGCATACTTTTTCATCTACACTTATCTTCTACTGAAGTTGAATAGGCTAATAATTTGTGTAAGGACACAGAGGGGAATACTTTTAAATGTAAATATGAAGACTGCAATTTAACACTAATTGAAGTCCCTGAGAGTCTGTGAACAGTAGACATACGCTTGTGGTCCCAGGAGTTGATTTGCTGTTTCTTCTTCAATTTCAACATCAGTTGAGCATGGTTTCTGTAAAATAATAGAAAGTGAAACCTGCATGATGTAGTTTTTATCCAACTAATATCCAACTAATATTAATGTTACATTTGTTAATGGTAAAACCCAACAACAACAAATCAGAGTGAAGTCTTTTACTTTCTCTGTTGCTCACTTTACTTTCCTCAGCAAAACCAGAAACAGCAGCATAGGACACCTGTGTTATAAAACTAGTCAAGAATGGACTTTCTCACTGGTAGAAACCAGAGACAATGAAGTGGTATTTAGATTAGCCTATATTCAGCATGAGCTCCCTCAAGAACACTGTGTGCAATGCCGTGACACAAGGGATCAATCTACAACTTAATGACAACATGAGACATGGGGCTAATGGAAAGTCAGCCTGAATCTAAAATTTCCTAGCAGGTGTTGACCTTCAGAGGTTACTAAATTATTTCCACTTTTTAACACCTTCACCTTCTAGACTCACTAAAAGCTAAACATAAGCTAGAAAACATCAGATACAGAAAACTATCTGTAGGCACTACTATGTCCTTTAGGCCAAATACTTTAAGTAGTAGGCTGGCTGTCATACACTTGGTGGAGAGAAGGAAAGTTTGTCACCAAAAGCTCCAGAAGTGTATTATCTTTCAGAACGGAAAAAGTTCACAATGAAGATGATAGTAATTTTCCTTTGTGTTGAATTTAATTTTAAGTGCATTCTTTCCCATTAAGTCTTTATTTGCTAAAGAATATTCTGATTTTTATGGAGTTACATGGAGGCATGCAGCAACAGTGCCCATTATTGTTACGCTCATCATTGGATGATGCTGTGAATTAACTTGCTAAAAAGCTGTCGTTCCTGAACCCAGAGGAGTCTTGTTAGAGGGATGCAATTTGGGGGTGTAGTGACTGTAGTTGTAAAAGATTAGTCTGTGATTACAGTAGTGTAATGTCATTTTCATGCCAAGTCAGTGGGTTTATATCTGAATAATAAACACAGGGACTAAGTAATTTACTGAAAATTAGCTTGACAACTGTTACAGGAAATGGCTTATGCACTTTAATACTTTAACTCCTTGGCGGCAAGGGTCAGTTTTTCCCATATGTTCAAGCCCATTGCTTACTTATTTTGCCCCTGAGTTGACCAGTAATGAAATGTTTAAAAAAAGCATGAATGGAAACCACTGAATGACATTTAAGGGTGAAATTAATGGCATCAGGCTTAATAAATAAAAGCAGCTTCTATGTACGTGCTAAGAAGAGAAACTCTCTGCAGAAATAGACCTTAATCTAGACATGACACTTCACAATAAATACGTGTTGGAAAAACAACCTGTAAATACATGTAAAAGGTTGAAAAGCATACCTAAGATAGGCTGCTGGACTGCAGTGATTTGTTCTCCAGTGGTTAACAACCTTCCCAAAGCCAGACTTCAGTTGCTAGTAATTACTGGCCATGAAGTCAGATGCAGTGAATATCCTGCACTGGGCTATTTTCCACA